GCAACAAACTTACTTAATTAGGTTTAGGAAGACATTGTGAAATAATTAGTTAGGTTAAGGCAACAAAACGACTTAGTTAGGTTTAGGAAAAGATCGTTGTTTTGGTTAAACTAGCTATTGAAGTGCCGTTCTTGATTTACGCAAGTTACGCAACAAAACGATCAACGATGACTTCTCATTCACACGGAGAACAAACAGCGGCCTCCTGGCAGAGAGATTGCGGTTTGTTGGATTAATCCACCCCCCCCTCCTTCCAGCCCTGTATGGACTTTTGCTGTCTTTATACTTCCTCGTTTATGATTACGTGCATAACATACACAATCATTTTGTGGGATATCTACAAACTATGGGGCATTATGGTATTGCTACGAATGTTGGATGCGATAATTCATCCAGTACTTTGATTTATGACCAAATGCCTGCAAAATGTATTATATTCCCATCTGCCTCAGCTGTATATGGAGGGTTTAGCAAATGCTAGCATTGCAATATGCCAAACTGTGATGGTGAACATAGTTGACATGAAATCTGATAATCATCAGCATGTTGGCATTGTCACTGTGCCAGCTGACCTTTAGCTCAAAGCCCTGTTGTGCCTAAGTACAGCCTTACAGAGCCACCAACATGGCTATCTACTTAAGTCTTGTTAAACTCTCAAACTTCAATATCAGAATACAGTAAAGCTATAGTACTGACCTTGCTTTGTGCACATGGTACTTCCCAAGATTTTTCCCAAAGTTGGAAGCACAAGATTCTCTAAAATATTTTTGTAGCATTAAGATGTTCCTTAGTTGGAACTAAGGGCTCTAGCCCAAACCATTTCCACTTATTTTTAACTTTTTATGTAGGGACATTTCAATTGTGCAAAAAAAACATGAGGCCATTAGTATCACTTTCACATGCAACAACTTAACATCAAAGAACTCTACATTTGCTGCTTTGGATTCATAGCATTTCCCCCAGTTATCTGTGGTACCTCTGCATTTTGTTATTCAGGTTTTCATGGAAATATAAGTGTGGAAGTATGACTCATGTTTAAGGAAACTATCCAGACACCTGGGCAGAGTTCCAGCCTGTGTGCTTGGAAGCAACAAATCAGCCAGAAATGTTTGGACATTTCAGCAGTCAACCCGGGTAGAAGAAAACATGCCAACAGTAAATTAACAGACATTCTTCAGCCTGTATCACCACTAAACTGGAAATAACACTTCGAGACACATTTCACCATTTGTCAATCTTGTTTTCACATCAACAATGACTATAATACAGTGCCATTTCATGCTGCCATCAAACATTTACTATTAAGTCATGACAGGAGGGAATTTCAAACTAATGGAAACGACAGATGCTCTTTTCCTCAATGCACAGCTCATGTCTCCAGCGACCTTGTGCAATGTGAAGTCATCGTCTTCCTAGTTGTCTGGATCATTTATACAAATGTACTAATGGCTCAAAATGAGTACACTCGTGACTGACTGATCTTAGCACCTTTTTTATTGTCCAATTCATCACAGAGAAATTGGGGCTCTAAGTGCTAGGAAGACCTTGAAACCTTGGCCTCCACAGACCTTGAGAGATCAAAATAAAACAGAAGTGCGTCAGACTGCAGAGCACGTCACCTGATAACTCAGCTTAAGGAAAAGGATTCAATAAAACATTTTCTGCTCCAAAAATAGCAAAGGGTTTGTCATCTGGCAAAGCAAAGAAGACAGTGCTCATGGACAGGAACAACATTTATGAAATGTAACGAGTGGATTGGCCATTAATCATAAGGGTGGTGGTGGAATCTCAGGGGTTTTCTCCTGACAAATTATCTTGAAGCAAGAAAAAATGAGGGCCCTATAATTTTCGCAAAGTGGTAAATGTGGACGGAAATCAATTTGATGATAAAAATCGAATGATATGTAAAACACAACATAATGTGGAATTTGCCAAATGTGGATGGAATTGATCAAAATCTGGCTTTTCTCTACCATTATAACCGTAAGCGAGGCTAAGCTCATGCACAAACACACACACATGCACACAGTCATGTCAAAGATGCCCTCTGAGACGACCCTCGTAGTTCACACTACACAACTTTAGCCCCGATTTTCCATTAGCTGGAGACGCACGCCAAGAGGCTCGCTGGTGCATCCCCTAGCAGGCTAAATGTGTGACCTGTCGTGGGAGCTACAGCCAAAGAGATCATGACATCATGAGACAAGTGCTGAGGGGAAACTTAGGGGAGGGGTCGCCCATTAGTCTTCCAAAAAGCTGAGAAATCGGACATTATCGGCTCAATTTAGAGCACTTGATTTTACAAAATTATTGAATTTTATATTATATAACTGTATCGACTAAATTTCTTTAAAAAAAAAAAAAATTTGTGTAATGTGTTACATACAATTCATAAATACACAGAATTCAGAAAAATTTAAACAGAAGATAAATAATTTGGGAAAACATAATATGGCATCTGCAAAAAAAATAAAGCAGATTTCACAGGACCCTGTGAAAAATTGTAAGTCCCTTTGGAGAGCATCGGCTTAATTTATGTCATGTGATGTAAAGTGGTAACTGCAAAATTAGCTTTCTGCAATCCATTTGTAGTCTCCAAACCCAAGCTGAGGTAACCCAGATGACATCACTATCAGGGTTAACCAGTGGCGGGCCGTCAGGGCCTGCAAGGCCTTCTCTGCTGGCCTAAACAGAATCACAAAGCTATATCTATTTTATAATTTAATAATTTTTCTTAAATACACTACATATATTATAATTTATAAAAATATTTTCCCCATTATCTTATTTTGTCATTGCACAGCTACTGTCTTCCTCAGTTGCTCTGCTTCCAGTGCAGCTTGTTTTAAGTAGAGCTTTTATCCAATCAGATTTCACCTCTGTCTCTCTAGGTAGGAACAGAGGCCAGAGGCCTGCAGAGTCTCACCTGCAGCCAGTGCAGATTAAAGTAAATGGGGACGATATTGTTGATTGTCATAGTGTTCAACCAATCAGATCTTTAGTTTGACATGTTGGGCGTATTCTTTGACTATCAGAGCCTGCGCGCCGGCCTATAATGACGTCAGCATTACATGCCGCTCCGTGTCCATGTGCAGCTCTGCCGCAAGGTGCAGAGTGCGCTGTGATTGGTCAGTGGGGGAGCACGTGACTATCGTGAAACGAAACTTAACAGCCAGCAGAGGCTAATGGGTAGTGAATCACATCACGTGATGCAGCTCAGCCAATCAAATATGGGCATTCTGACTGAGTGAGATGCACCATGACAGAGGGGGCTGAGACGAGGAAAGACATTGCAGAGCAGTACGTTCAAGTTGTGAAAGTAAAAGTAAAATCCTATGATAATCTCTTTGGGTCGCGGCTTGTCATTAAGGAATGATGGTGGGTACCACAGCCAGACCAGCTGAGAACATTATATTTTCCTGAATTTAGGCTTTTGCATTTTCTAAATGGTCTAGCATTATTCAGACGACTCGTACCGAACGGTTTAATACCAAGACGTACATAGTTACAGCCTTAAAAATGAATAATAGCTGCGGCGCCATAATGTGGTTATAAGGTGGTATTGGACAGCAGTGAAGGCCCAGGTATAAAATGCATGGCCCGCCACTGGGGTTAACCACAGAAGATATATATAACTATTTACAATTTTTAGTGGAACATGAAAACCATTTTGTGGAGAGCACAGTACGTATTAATGACTAAATGAATAAAATACTATATTTTGGAGAATACATATCAGTATATTCTGTTTGTAGTAAATGGGCTGAAATTCAAAATAACAGCAGTACAGCCTGTTTATAGGAATAGTTTGTCATTCTTCATTAAAATGCTTGTTCGCGTTCTTGCAGAATTCAATGTGAAGATTGATAGCACTCTCATATCTGTACACTATATACACTGCTCAAAAGAATTAAGGGAACACTTAATCATCACAGTATAACAGACATTTAAACTTCTTAGATATTGATCTGGCCAGTTAGGATGCATAAGCAATTGTGAATCAACTTCACCTGATTTGGTGCAAATGAAGTCGACAACAGGTGGACAGGAGAGGCAACAGCACAGACCATTTCTTTCTCCTTATTCTTCCTGGCTGTTTTCTTTCTAGTTTTGCATTGTTAGTGCCCTTGTCACTGGCATGAGGTTGCACAGGTCGTCCAAATCCTCCTGGATGGCACATCCATACGAGCCGTCGCAAAAAGGCTTGCTGTGTCTCCCAGCACAGTCTTAATAACGTGGAGGAGATACCAGGAGACAGGTGCAGGACACCGCCCGGCTTCATGTGGCCAGAGTGTGTAGGCAGCTCCTGAATAACGCAGGCATTGATGCCATGGACTGGCCTTCACGTTCCCCAGATCTCAATCCAATTGAGAACCTGTGGGACTTTATGCATCGGTGCAGCCGACGCCAGGACACCACCCCCCGTCTCATCAGGAGCATGCCCAGACGTTTTCGGGCGAACATACATTCACGCAAGTTGGATCAGCTGTGATTTAGATCTTTTCCTGTGATTTTGAATACAGCCCTCAGTGGGTTCCTGATTTTGGTTTCCATTGACCATTCTTGAGTCATTTTGTTCTCGACGAATTACACAATGAAGATATTAATATATCAATAAAGATTTTCAACTTGAATATTTTGTTTGTCAAGTTTAATAGACTTGGTGTACTGTGATGATTAAGTGTTCCCTTTATCTTTTTTGAGCCGTGTATGAAGCTACAGCCAGCAGAGGGTTAGCTTAGCATAAAAACTATAGTGGTTTTATAGAGAGTTATGTGCTGGACTATTTCTTGGCCAGTGCCTGAACAACGACCTTTGTGTTTGTGCTGGGCTAAGCTTGTGAAAGTAAATAAGCACATTTCCTTTACAAAACCGTGACTTCAATAAGGATAAATTATTAAGATTCGTAAGGTTAATAACAAAGAATAACTTTAAGACTGACTGAGAAGAAAATCATCAACATAGTTAGGAAAGGACTTATCACTCTGGTCGGTACTCACCCTTCTGGTGTTGTCCAGGACCTTGGGGTCAGGCCGGCCATAGTTGGGGGGGTTGGCATGTGGGTCGTAGCCCAGTCTGGACAGCATGGGGGAGATGACAGCCATGTCCCTCACAACATCAGCTGGGATCTTTCCCACCCATTTGGACAATGCCTCCACATTGACGGGCTTGATGACCTGGTCTGTGGACCTCTCCACTCTAGCAAGAAACAGACAAATGTTTTCAATTCTCATCTGAAATAGTACGTACTTTATCAGTTTCAAGTTTTTCTTGGTTGTTGAAGCACATTTGCAATGTTAAATATCCCGGGTTTTAATCGTTATTTCTCGTAGCTGGTTGAGGTAAGGTTAGGCATTGACCTTGAGTAGTTTGGGTCAGGATAGCCAATTGGTCAAGGCATAGGACCCGGACAATTTGGGTTAAAAATACCTTGACGAGCATGGACGCCTGGCCAATCCTAGCGCTTGAATGCTGCACAGGGCGGGTCTTGCCAAGAAAAGCGTTGGGATTTATAGTAATGCATCTGACCTGCATTGGTTTCGACAGGGGTTCGAGGACTAATCTCACATTCAAATATCTAATTGTCAAGCTTCACCTAAGCTTATATTTAAAAAGATATTCAGGGATACACTTAAACCCTTCAGGATTGAGCCTCTACAAACTGACCTGGCGACACCAACCATAGTAACTCAGACAAAGGAGAGGAGAATACAGCACAGGCACGATTTCGTTGTGGCTTGTTTCAAAGATTATATAACCAATGTTCATAAGTTTACATACAGTATATTTGTCAATTTTAAGTGAAGGAATTTGTTTATCAATTTGCAGGCCTATGAGAATTGCTGCGTCAGCTCCTAGTGCCAGTACACACGATTGTATGAGCATGCCCCGGACCCTCCTAACCGGCTACTTTTTCCAACTGGCTGGCTACTTCATAACCTTGTGAAAAGACGTGATTACACTACCCAGCATGACTGTACTCGGTAGGAGATTTAGATAAACAAATATACAGTGCATGTTGTAGCTTACAGTCCTCAATATCACTCTTATTGACACATTAGTTAGCAACAAACATTTACTGATGATTGTTAAGGGAGTCTGGAGATTTCCTCACAGGGCAAAAAATGTCCGGTGTTCATTTTTCAATGTTATTTTAACACCTAATGTATCAAAACTAACACCTCAGGAGTCGGCTCCCGAGTGTGGATTTTGGTTGTTTGGAAAATTCTCTTACACTCCACGTGTTGACTACACCTTCAGTGAGGGAGCAAAGACAAAGCGCCCACCAGCATCTGCCATTTTGTAACTCCTGTGTGTTAATTGATCAAGTTTAAAGTTTTAGGTTGATATTGCCATATATAATATCAGTAAGTGTGAAATGACATAACTTGTCAAATCTCATCTTAAAATGCTAGCATAAACTCGATAAATAACATTAACGTTAGCTAACCTAATATTACTGAGCACCCTCTGCCTGTTGGGAGAACATAATGAATGTTATTGGATAATATCTGGCAGTTTTGAATAAACGTGCAAAAAAAGCAGCCACTTTTTTCACTACTAGTGGTATTTGCAGGCAGTGAATAACATCAGTAGAGGAAGGAGGACAGAATGACTGATATCTGTGTTACTCATTCTTTCCAAACTTCACTCAGTATTGTGATGTCAGGAATATTATTTATTTCATTGACATTTTAGATTTGTTTCCAATGAGATTTTACTGAGTTTATATTGTGACTTTGCTGTTAACATTACTATTGCTACTATTTAAAATATAAATAAATCTAAATCCTGTTCTGAATGTTTTCTTTTTTTAAACAATATATTCAAAACAAATAGTTTCACAATGGAAAAGAACAGATGAGAGTATCAATAAAGAACCAAACCGATAAAATCCTAACGATACCATCTCTGTTGAAGAGCAATTCATTTTTGCCAAAATTAAAGCCACTTCATTTCCTTATTGTTGGTTGCTTTCTTCCCACACACATACATCCATTTAGTGTCTGCAGTCCAGCTTCTCCATCCCAGTGTTTCCCGTCTGACTCTGAACGTCAATATGGCAGTTCACTTTCCTCTAATCCATTTACTTTGCAATTGAATCTTTACACTGTACGGGTATACTCTCCTGCATGATTAATACAGTGAGCTGGTTTTGTCATCTCAGGGGAACGGTGGAGATGGTTTCTGAGAGACGGGCCAACAACCAAAAATCCACTCAAAAGATGGGTAAGGAATCACTTTAGGTAACTCCATCAAGACCCGAGGCTGCTAAGTGTCGAGGGGGAAGATAAAAAGATAAAGACAAAGACGGAGAATAGCAAATGCAGCTCAGCTTTACCATCATGATGGCAGGGGCTACCATGCAAGGTGCCACCTGCAGTCGGTCTTCTGATTGAAGGACTACCCACTCAACTTCTGTTGCTAAGAGGTTGAGTGGGTCGTCTTTGAGTATATTATACTCATGTATAATATAACAATCTATAATACTCTCCCTCAAGGAGATAGAGTTGCAGCCATTTTTGACTCAAGCTTTGTTCTTAGCCTATCAACCCTAAAACAAAACTAACCGAAATGATAGATTTTGATATAGTTTATACTGACTTCCAAGGGGTTGAAATGATTTTTGGTACAGTGGTGAAAAAGCCTTAAATAACAGCTGCTTTAACAAAAACAAACAACAAAAACAATCTCTATCTGGCAATATGGATCATCAATCATTGCCATTGGAATTGGCGGCAAAAAATTGAACCCCTCATTGAGCTGATCCGATCCGTGATCTGTGACTCAAATCCCTGATACGATCTGAACCGTTAGCGTTATGATCTGTTGCACCTCTACTCAACAGCATAATAAAATGAGGTATAAATAACCCATCTGTGTGATTCCCATCATCAATCTAAAATCATTTGCACTCACACTGCTGAACAAGTTATGCACACACATCCCTCTTCTTGGTTCTAAATGTGATGTGACAAAAAACCTTTCCGCCCGTCACATGACCACTTCCCTTCAGCCTGATGCTCATAATGGCCTCTGGCTTGTCAATTATTCATTGCTAGGCCTCCTTTACCCAAGATGGTGTTCTGTATCACCAACAGCTGATAAGAGCGAATCGGATAGAGACATCAAGATCACAAATAGGATGGAGGGTAGGGGGGGTGGAACGGCTCCCTGTTCTGGGATAAGGTCCCGAAAAAAAGCCTCGTCTCTAGCAGGGAAAGCTTTGTCGAAAAAAAAACCTTCAGATGATGATGGTCAAGCAAGTCCAACGATACAATTATAAACATTTGCATTTGAATGGGGGTCTTTAATTAACTCACCCATTTAAATTGTATTAAGGCTTGAAGTTAAGCATAATGGCGGGCGTGGACACTTTGAGTGAAAGGTGGGTACCAGGTCGCTATTTGCTAGCCGTCTCTGCTGCGTCACCATGCCTGCCTCGGCTCCATCTCTTTGCCCGTTTTTAGAGTTAGGCTGTGTCGTCACTGCCAAGATGGCCACCAACTTTGAGCTTCACAGCCGTTCTTCAGACATCATGGGTGACGTCAAGGACACTACAGACATATTTTTTTTACAGTTGATGCTTTTTACACATACAAAATATTTTAATTCAACGTAGCATCATTGTTAATAGTGATGCTCGGATACCGATACCAGTATCTGGGACCGGTACTGTGCTCATGTAAACATACTAATGAAAATACTCCTATACAACTGCACCAGATACAACTTTATGGCACCATGACCTCTTGTAGTTGGCCAGTTGAGCCTAATACGCCACCCAATTGCAACAGTTAAATTAACAAGTTAAATTGATATTTTATCACCAGTTGCTGTGTATGCGCAAAACAGGCGGTCCCCACTTGAACCGTCCAGGAGACATAGTCACATGCAGTGGCCACATGCCATCGCATGGTTCTGCCTAGCATACTCAGTTTCCTCCAGTGTAATAGAAGACGGATGTGACATTAGCGAGTGTCTGGTCGAAAGAGAGAGCCTGTTTGTGATGGGTGTGGAATCAGCAGTACCGTTATAGCTGTGAACATAGTAGTATAATGTGTGCGCTGTTTATTTCCCGGTGAATAATTGCTACAACTCCTCAAGACCTGCGATTAGACCCACGCTACGTTACTGCATCTCCACTGTCAGACAGCTGCCGGATAAACTAAAGGGGTTTAGCTCTGAAGTTAGCAACAGCTCTGGCACACCGAAGATTGTCTCCTTTAAGTCATTAGTCCCTGGGTTTATCTTTTTCTTTGTTTAACTTATCACATGGTTCAATGGTTAATCATTAACACCTGTACTGCAAACTACCCTCTGTTTGATCGGGAAAACACAACGTAGAATGTTAAACTGTCAGCAAAGCATCATGGTATTAATCTAATTTGTTAGTCAGAAAGTGAGGAACTCCTGATCAAACTTATCATATCGGTCACTATAAAGGCCTTTCAGAAGAACCACTCAGATGACATACCGATTCTGAATAGAAATGTTTTCAACACTCTGGCCTGCTTTCTCGCCTGCTGAAGAGCAGCTGTGTTGTCTTCATAGCGGATTCTTTAATTCGCTATAAAGCCAACACAGCTGGACACAGACACAGTGACGTGCTCTGAGGAGCCAGGCCTGGTGTGTGCTCGAGGGTCCAGCTGTTCCATACACACACCGGGTGCCGGCGCTACAGAGCTAGCCGCGACTCATCCTGACCTGGCGAAGCAGCGCAGTCCGGCTCATGATTTGCAGCGAGAGTTTGTGTGTGTAGTCTCTGCTTTTGCCATTTTTTAAAAGCTTACTCCAGAGACCAAAAGAGACTGCGTCGCGTCATGTCCTGTAACTCATCATGTGAGCTTCAGGAAGGAGCAGGATTGGCTAGAGTAGCTGCTGACTTTGGGACTAATCCTCTTAACTTCAATCAGCCAGGGACAAGAAACACAGGGACTCGGCCTGGGAGTTGAGGAGTTGTCGCATCTAATTAACTTTGAATAAACTAAACACACACCACACTGCCAAGTTCAAAGCTGGTACGTTACTGCTAACTTCATACTCATCACATACACGCTCTCTCTTGATCGACCGGACGCTCACTAACCTTAACCCTGACAGAGTATTCCATGCAGACACAGCTGACAGCCTTGCAGCTAAAGTAATTGCCGCAGAGTAGACTTACTTTCCTGGCTACATGTGTCCAACACTGTGGCTGCTAACCACACCGAATTTGCTTTGGCCTGAAAATCAATATTGTATCAGAGAGCCTCTTGGACTCTGTCCCCGACTGTGGTTGTCAACAGTGTAGCTCGATGTAGACATGCAAGACAAAGCAGTGTCTCCATGCCTCTTTGCAGCTCAGCTCAGAGCGCTCCGGTTAGGGTCCCCGTTTATTAATATTTTATCAGATTCAATTTGTGGAGGGGTGACGTGTGCACTAAATGACCACACATCTGCATCTGGATCCCAAAGAGCTTTAATTGCTCTCTCTCTCTCTCTCGCTCGCTCCCTGTGCGGACATTTTGTTCAGTTTGGCCTCATGTTTGTTTTTCTATTTCAAGTGGTGTAGCATTCTAGCGTTGAACATTGAACGAGTCCTCGCCATCGAGCCGTAGCAGTCGAGTGTTGTTCCAGCATGGCTGAGGAGCACTTGGGAGTCTCTCTGGTATGTTGGCCTGAACCACAATACACCCGACAGTTTGTTAAGATGAGCTTTGGAATCGTTCAGCCGGGTTCACAGGATTTATCTTGGTTACAAAATAAGTAGAGATAAGATGATTAATTTCCTTTATGGTCGGTTGAAATTTTATATCAATGTAATTTATTTTTGTAAAATAACTAAATCAATTGCTGCCATCACGCTTATTGTGCTGATCCAGTTGTTTTTTGGGCCCCGATGCTTACAGTGTATTGTGTACTGACACATTGAAATAAGAGCCGTTATCTCATTTTTCAAGAGCAACCTGATCCAAACAACTATTAAGTTGATAAGCTTAAATTATTGACATAAAACCTGGTGTTACAGAGTGGA